GATCCCAAGAACTATCCCAGGGGAGCCTCTGGTAGTTTTCTTCCCCACAGTGATTATGACCCAAACAGATTCTGTTTTACCCATTCCATCCCTTCTCATTTCTTTCCACTCCACCTCGTCATGAACATACAATGTTACTCCACAACCTTTGCCCTTTTCCTTTCTTTCCTGTACCCCGGTCATGGCTGTACTGCCCCATGGTTCTGTTCTCCCGATAATAGCTGGTTTCCCATCCCACACCCGTAGTTCTACTTCCTCCATTTTGTCACCCGGCTCCTGGCATTGCTGTTCAGACATCTTACTGATTCCACTTGTCTTTGCTCAGATTTGTCACCCAGGTAGGTACAGTCATTTTACTGCCAGTATCTGCCACCTGACTGTTAGTGTTGGTGCTCTTGGCACTATAGTTCCTCTTGTCATCCATTCTCCCGCCCTCTGTCCTTCCTTTCTCCACTGCTGTGCCCTGTCCTACTTGATTTGCCTCCTGCTCAGTGTGAGAATCAGGCCTGGAGATTCCAAGAGCATCTCCCAGGGTTCCTAGTTTAACGCCCTTTTTATCAGTTGTGCCAACCTCCATCCTGGAAGTCTATCCCGCACCCTGTTCAGGTGGCTTCCATCCCATGAGACAAGTCATCTGTCCGTGAATGCCTCCCAGTGGTTGAACATCCCCAAGGCCTCCTTAGCCCCACTTCCTGAGCCATCTAGTGATCATCAGCATTTTGTCTCCCCTTCACTCTCCTCCTCCCACTGAAGATCACCTGAGCCTCCATTTCTTTAAGGGTCTTCCCCAGCCTGGCGCAGTCTCCCTTGATGTGTTCCAGCAAGAATCTAGGGGCTTTCCCCTCCAGAGAGTTCTGGCTTTGATCCAGCCCCAGGGCAAGGGGGCTGGCTGGCTTGGGAGGGTGGGAATGGGGCACGGGGCTCTGATCTCGGGCACTGGCTGTGTTGGGGGGTGAGAATGGGGCACGGGGCTCTGATCACGGGGCCGTGGGACAGACTCACTTGGGGGGTGGGGTCCAAGGTCTGATCCTGCTCTCTCCCTGCAGCAGGGGCCGGGGGCTCCACCGGAGATGGGGCGCCCGGTGCAGCTGGTGCGTCTGGATGGCAAAGGGGGCCTGACCCTGGACGAGGAGGCCCTGAGCCGCTGCCTGGAGCAGGGTGGGGTGGGGGACGCCCCCGTCTGCCTGGTGTCCATCGTCGGGGAGCAGCGCCTGGGTAAATCCTTCCTGCTGAACTACCTGCTGCGCCGGCTCCAGAGCCCGGTGAGTGGGGAAGGGGGCAGTAGTGAGCTGTGGGTGTGAGCAGCCCCATCCTGCCCCCAGCTGGAGGGCTCAGAGCTGCACATGTGTCTGTGAACATCCCACCCTCAAACATGTCCAGTTAGCTCGGGCCATGGCTGGACCCTAAGGTGTCTGTCTGCCTGTCTGGAACACAGCACGTCACTCTCTCTGTCTAGACAGCAGTAGGTCTGTTTGTCTATCAGATTACGAGTGTAACCCTTCTGCCAGGCCAAGTGATAGCAGCAAGGGCCGGGTTCAGTACATAGGGGTCCCTTCCCAACAGCGTGACACAGAACCAGCTCGAGCCCCCACCCAGTGACCTGGGAAAATCTTACACACACCCCTGGGCGCCTCGAAGAGGCAATACTTCCCCTCTCGCAAGCACAGAGCCTCGGTGTAGCAGAAAAATGTTTAATAACATGAGGTAAACGACATAGCATTAAATTGGGAAAACACCACAACTAGAGTTCATAGACCAAACCATGTGCGAAGACCCACCCCAGCAAATTGGGCCGTGTCCTTTCCCGTTGGTTCTTGAAACCCGCAACCAAAGTCCCAAAAGTCCAACAACCCCAAAGTCTCTCGGGTCCAGCAACCCAAGAATCACCAAAGTCCCAAAAGTCCAACAACCCCCCAAAGTCTCTGTCCCTGGTCAGTGCAGCCCCAGAGTTCAGGGGGGAGGGGCGCAGGGTGTTAAGGGGCACCTTACGTGATCCGAGACCAACCGGCCGCCTCTCCGTGGGGTTCCGCCGCAGCCTTCACCACGAGCCGCTCCACTCCACCTGCTGTCCCGTGAGCCGCTCCTGCCGTCCCACGAACTGCTCTGCTCTGCTCCGCTCACCGACCTGTGAGCCGCCCGGCTCCACTCCGCTCCGACCGTCCCCGCAAGGCTCCGCTCTGCCAGCTGCTCCTCCAGCTGCTCTGCTCCGCTCACCGACCTGTGAGCCGCTCAGCTCCGCTCTGCTCTGCTCCAACCGTCCCCGCGAGGCTCCACTCGGCTAGCTGCTCCTCCAGCCGTCCCCGCAAACTGCTCCGCCAGCCACTTAGCAATTCAGGCTCCCCCACTAGTTAACACAGCCTCAGTGATCTCAGCTCTTAGTAACTTTAGCTCTTTTGTGATTTCAGCTCATAGTGATTTCAGCTCATAGTAGGGGAGCCCCAGTGCTGGTGCACTAGTGGCCCAAAGTGAACTCAGCTCAGCAGCCTGTAACTAGACTCCTAAGGGAATCAAAGTTAGCTCTGACATTCAACAGTGGAGAGAGGAGGAGGTGTAATTGGTGTTTCAGGCTCACGCAGGGGCCCCACACCACCAGGTACCAATACCTGCCCCCAACCTCTCTCAATTCACTGGGTTTTGTAACCCATGCCCCTTGACAAGCAAATGCTACTTAGGTAATGGTGACGGATTCACTCAGTCCTTCTGTCATACAACAGTTCCACTGGCCTTGATTCACAGAATCAGGGTAACAAAACTTTATTCTTCCTGCCCCAATAACAGAGAAACTGGGGATCCCACACCAGCCAAAGTAACCACTTTTGGTTGCTGTGGGCTCATGCTAGGCGTGTGGGTGTGCCTATGCAAACGAGATCCGCCCCTGGAGTTCTTTTCCACACTCGCCATAATTCACCACCAGATGTCAGGGTAGAGCTCATCCTGACTCTGCTTACATACCCAACTAGCTGAATTCAATGACTCGTCCATTCAAAGTTGAGAAACCAGTTGGGAGTTGAAAAATCAGGAAAGTTTGTTTTCCACTTTGAACCTATCATTAAAAACAAGGTGTGAGCGGATGAGATGTACCAGCTCTAAAATCTTGAAGGACACGGTGACCAGAAACAATCAGTTCAATTCACTAACTACAGATAATAGTTCCTTTTTCCTAACAAATCAGATTTGAATGCAAAACATGTTTTAGTAAAGTATTTTTCTCTTCTCTATCCTGTTGTCCAGATCAAGTTACAGTGAAGATGAAGGGTCTTTCATCCTGTCCTAGCTACGCAGTGAGCGCCTTTCTGCGTAATTTGATCATTTTCTTTATTATTTATCACATTCACAAGCTGGAATCAGGTAGGAATCTCACTGGTCCTGCTGCTGCTTGTAGGATTTGTTTCATTGTAGTGATTTTATAAATCATGCCTATTCCACTCCTTTATACAAAACTGAAAAATACCCAAACAAACAAACAAAAAACAAAAAAACAAAAAAAAACCACCAACCCCAAACCCACCCCTACAACAAATTTCAGATTGGCTCAATATCAGTAAATAAGTCTCCACTTCCTCCCCAACCCTTCTGGAGGAGTAATTCTCCATCCGCTGCATATGAGGCAACTCAGTTGCTCTATCCATCTAGGTACTTATATCATCATAGTATTTGAGTGTGACGCTGTATGGAATATGGGTGACCATTTATAATAGCATTGATACCAATATTACAAAATCACAATAACTCTTATAGAAGATATGCCACGAGAAGTAATTATGCCGCTCTACCCTGCGCTGATTTGGCCTCAACTGGAGTATTGTGTCCAGTTCTGGGCGCCACATTTCAGAAAAGATATGGACAAATTGGAGAAAGTCCAGAGAAGAGCAACAAGGATGATTAGAGGTCTGGAAAACATGACCTATGAGGGAAGATTGAAAGAACTGGGTTTGTTTAGTCTGGGAAAGAGAAGACTGAGAGGGGACATAACAGTTTTCAAATACCTAAAAGGTTGTTATAAGGAGGAGGGAGAAAAATTGTTCTCCTTAACCTCTGATGATAGGACAAGAAGCAATGGGCTTAAACTGCAGCAAGAGAGGTTTAGGTTGGACATTAGGAAAAACTTCCTAACTGTCAGGGTGGTTAGACATTGGAATAAATTGCCTAGGGAGGTTGTGGAATCTCCATCATTGGAGATTGTCTAACCTACTCTTAAAAATCACCTGTCAGGGATGGTCTAGATCAGGGGTAGGCAACCTATGGCATGCGTGCCAAAGGTGGCATGTGAGCTGATTTTCAGTGGCACTCACATGCCCAGGTCCTGGCCACCGGTCCAGGGGGCTCTGCATTTTAATTTAATTTTAAATGAAGCTTCTAAAACATTTTAAAAACCTTATTTGCTTTACATATAACAATAGTTGAGTTATATATTATAGACTTATAGAAAGAAACCTTCTAAAAACGTTAAAATGTATTACTGGCATGCGAAACCTTAAATCAGAGTGAATAAATGAAGACTTGGCACCGCACTTCTGAAAGGTTGCCAACCCCTGGTCTAGATGGTGCTGGTCCTGCCATGAGTGCAGGGGGCTGGACTTGATTACCTCTCAAGGTCCCTTCCAGTTCTATGATTCTATTGTAAGGTATCAGTGGAAAAGGCTTGATTTGCTAAATATGATAAGTTTGTTTATAGGTCTGTATCATTTTTGTATGGTGAGATATAAATATGTGGTATATTTGTGTCTCAAACTTGTGCTGTGCATTTGGGTGACACCCCCAGACAGACCGGCATCAGCACTATCCAGCCTGCTGTAGAATGAACCATTGAGAGAAGCCTGGGGCTATGATTCAGCAGGACATGTAGACAAGTATCAGAGGGGTAGCCGTGTAGTCTGTATCCACAAAAACAACGAGGAGTCTGGTGGCACCTTAAGACTAACAGATTTATTTGGGAAAAGCTTATACCCAAAATAAATCTTAGTCTTTAAGGTGCCACTGGACTCCTTGTTGTTTTTCAGGACACGTAAGGACATGCATAGGCGCCGACTTCTACTGGTGCCGGTGAGTGCTTGATACCCCCCTCTACCCCGCCCCATCCCCACCCCGCTCCCTCCCTCTCCCATTCCAACTCCTTCCCCAAATCCCCGCCCCAGACCCGCCACTTCCCTGCCTCTGAGCATGCCACTTTCCCACTCCTCCCCCCTCCCTCCAAGAGCTTGCTACAGCTGTGTGGCAGCGGCAAGTGCTGGGAGGTGGGTGGAGGAGGAGGTGTTGTGGGACAGGGAGTTTGGCTGCCAGTGGGTGCAGAGCACCCACTAATTTTTCTCTGTGGGTGCCCCAGCCCCGGATCACCCACAGAGTTGGCGCCTATGGGGTCATGCCGATGGATAAGGGACTCCAAGTACCTTTTCATGCCCATGTGCTGTGAGTTTGTGTTTGGGACAAAGGATGTACACGCCACATGGCAAAGGATATAAAAAGGCAGCTGCATCTTCTCCATTTTGTCTGCAATCCTGTTTCTCACGTCTGGAGTAACTTCCCTACAAACTGAAGCTTTGAACAAAGGACTGATAGACCCATCCAAGCTTTGGATTTGTTCCAGAGGGACTTTGCAAGCTAACAAACTCACCAGTTCTGCTAAGAACCTGATATATGGGTTCTGAAGTGTCTGTCTGTCTGTCTGTCTGTCTCTCTCTCTGTATATGTGACTATATATGAAAGTATCTGACTGCTTTGACCATTTAGCAACTCTCTTCTTTTTCTTTCCTTTTCTTTTCTAATAAAACCTTTAGATTTAGATACTAAAGGATTGGCTAGCAGCATGGTATTTTGGGTAAGATTCAAACTAGTATTGATCTGGTAATGTGTCTGGTCCTTTGGGGGAATTAAAAGAACATTTGTAAAGTGAATAGAGTTTTTAAGTAACTTCTCACTGTACTGAACCTATTCGCTGATTGGGAGCCAGAGACTGGAATGCAGTAAAGGGGGCTGTGTGATTTCTTTTCTAGATAACCAGTGTGGGGGATCACGAGCACAGTTTGTGACTGGTTGGTAAATCTAACTATAGTGTAAACCACCAGTTTTGAGAGAATCTGCTCTCCTTTTTGCATTGGCATTTCCACTGTGGGCTGCCCTACGCACCTCTGGTCATGCTGAGCATCCTACTTCACAGGCTTGCATCCTCTGTGACCCAATCCTTTCTCAAACACCAAGGCAGCCTGGCCTAAAGCTGAAGTGATTTGGGGTCAGTGAGGCCAAGGCAAATGAGTCCCAGAGTTGAAGACCCTTTACTGAAAATGTCCTGGCAGTGACCCCGTCTGACTAAAAACAGGTGGAGGGGGGCAAAGGAGGAAAACTCAAGAACCTCGGCTCATCTCAATGAAAATTGTGTTCTCATACGAGGTGATAGGTGGTGGTCTCCAAAGAAGCTGGGTCCCAAAACATTAGGGTAAAATTCTAGGTGATCTCTGTTGACTTCAATGGAGTCAGGATTTCATCTTTTCACCCTTCTCATATTAAAACCAATGCTGAGAATCACATCAGAAATATAGTGAAGGCAGGAACAGATCAGAGCTCAGGTATACAATGTATATACTCAGGTCACCCTGTCCGTTCACGGGAAACTGAAATGGCTCTGTGGCATATCAAATAAGGGGAGTTATCAGTGACACCTATACCTGAGCTGGCCTGTCATTTTTTAATGTAACTCTTCCCCCCCCCCCAATTGTTTGTTATTGTGCCAAAATTTCAATGTTCAGGCTGGAAATTTGATTGCCAGGTGTCTGCTCCATGCTGAATTTTTGGAAAGTTTGAACCTATTGAATCAGTCATGAATATTTTTTTTTTCCCTCTGAGCTTCTTCTCTTTTTGCTTTGGTGTATTTCACAGCCCAGTACAGCGTGACTGGTCCTGGCCACCCTGTCACTGCCATTGTGGGTGAGGCCACTGTGTTACCCTGTCACCTGTCCCCCAGGATGAGCGCTGAGAACATGGAAGTGAGATGGTTCCGATCTGAGTTCACTTCAGTTGTGCACCTGTATCAGCATGGGAAGGATCAATATGGGAAGCAGATGCCAGACTATCGTGGAAGGACAGAGCTTTTGAAAGCTGGCATCACGGATGGGAATGTTTCCTTGCAAATTCTTAATATCAGACACTCAGATGAAGGACAATACTACTGTTTTGTTCAAGATGGTTCTTTTTATGAAGAAGCCCTATTGGAACTGAAGGTAGCAGGTCAGTTGCTCTTGTCTGTATTAGCTTAGTCTGGGCTGCAGTTTTTGTTCTTTTCTACTGCAACAACTGTGACTAGCAACTTGTGAATTATTTTAGAGTAACACAGTGTGACTAGATTTCTGCACATGACCACATTCATACACTTTGGAAAATATGCTGAAAACTTTCCCAACGTTTTATTAAAGACATTTTCAGAATGGTCAAGAGATTTCCTTGCCCAAAAGATGTTTTTGGCTGACTTCAAAAGGAGGGAGAGAAAGGAGGGAAAAGACTTCTAGACAAATATGGGCCTGGTTTATACTAGAAAAGTAGGTCAGCTTAACTGTCTGTCTCAGGGGTGTGAAAAATACACACCCATGAGTGACAAAACTAAGCTGACCTAAGTCCCCATGCAGGCAGCGCTGGGGTCAACAGAAGAATTCTTCTGTCAACCCAGTTACTGCCTCTCAGAGAGGTGTATTACCAATGACACCAGGAGAAGTCCTCTGTTGGTGTAAGTAGTGTCTACACTGAAGCACCACAGCAGTGAAGCTGTGCTGCTGTAGCCTTTCAAGTGTGGACAGCCCATGGTCTTCCAATTTCTCTGCAGTCATTTTGAGGCGTGGCTAGAGTGGGACTGCCAGGTTTATAAGGCCTTCTGACGTGGTCACTACAGCTAGTTAGTTGGGGTACAGTCAAAGTCAGTTGTAGCTTTTCTGATTGGCTGAGGCCACATAAAGATGATGGGGGGGAGACCATATGTATTTACCGCTAGTGGATGATGCCGAGTGTTTGACCCCTGCTGCTCTGACACCGGAACCATGGAGCCAGTTAGATTTATTTATTTATTTAAAAATAAAACAAACAAAATGTCTATCCAATATACTAAAAACTGGCTTTCTGAAAAATTCATATCCCACTAGGTATTTAAATGAAGTGGCCAGATTTCCAAATTTGTTCAGTGCTCCATTGCTCTTGGGTGGAGAGGACAATATCTCACTTATTTAAAATAATTTCACTGAATATTTGTTCACATCTTTTCCTGTGTCCATGTGTATTGCGAATTCAGAAATTCCAGTGTTCATTTATCCCTTCTACGTGATCAAGTGATCTCTAGTGGGAGTAAGGGATCCACAATCTATCACTCATCCTTTTAGCTTTTAAGTTACCCCATTGATTTATCACACATTTATGTAATTTTCTTCTAGCTTTGGGCTCCAATCCTCTTGTCTCTGTGGAGAGTCACCAGGATGGAGGGATCCGGGTGGTTTGTCAATCGACTGGATGGTATCCAGAGCCCAAGGTGCTATGGAGAGATCGCAGTGGACAAGAATTAACATCACTCTCTGAAGCAAAATCCCTAGGGGATAGTGGCCTGTTTGAAACAGAAAATTCTATTATTATAAAAGAACATTCAAACCAGAACCTGTCCTGTTGGATCAGGAACACCTTTCTCAATCAAGAAAAGGAATCAACAGTTTATATAGCAGGTCAGTTACCAGCTAAACCCACACTCTTAAATCACCTTCATCAGAAACAAAACAAAGAACTGAAGCATCCGCTGTGCATATTTTACAATTACATAAAAACAAAGAAGTTCAGAAACCAGTACCTTAACAGGGTCACAACTCAGGCAATCAGATTGCCTAATTTTGAATGTTCAGAGTTATCGGTTTAATGTAAATTTAATCTTAACTGTGATATTCCTGAAACTTTAATTAAAAAAAAAAAAAGTATGATTTTGAGAAGAAATATTCACCAAACCTTGAAAGTTTGTTCCTAAAAACTTAACTTCACCACAATGATTTTGTGAATGTAGCAATTTTTACACTATGATTTGTTTGCTACCTTTTCAATAAGTGAAATGTCACCAAAGTATATGGGCTTCTTTCCATTGACATTCAATGGGATTTATGCTCATAACTCACTTTGCCTTTTACACACACAAGCTGCACTGATTATCTACTGAGTTATTGATGAAACCCCTTGTTTGAATGCTCTCATTTCAGTTTCAGAGTGTCCTGTGTATTTAGCCTAAGTCAGTTCCTTACTGATTGATACTAAATGGATAAAGGACACTATTCAGCTGATTTACAATTTAAAGTTTTGTCAACCAGTTTAGTTAAATTGGGGCAGTCCTCTTACGTGGTCAGCTGTGGAATCAATGTAACAATGACTGCATGAGTGTTACACCAATTTCACTAAACCAGTGCACAAATCCTGTGTGGAGAAGGCCTTAGGCATGTTTGAAATGCCCACCCTGGCTAGATGATTTAAATGCTGTAAACACAAGAACAGCAAAAGAAGATGAATCAATTTTCAGCTCTTAATGTTTGGATTAATTGCAGTTATGATTCATCAAAATAATTGGGGAAATTATTAGTGACTCACCAAAATATTCTAATTACTCCTGCAATTTTTGAATGTTGCTGAACAGTGAGGACCAAATTGTTTGCTGGCATAACTCCACTGAAGTCAATGTGGTTTTGTGAGCAGAGAATTTGCCCCTGAAGTCAATAAAGCTCTGAATACCATGAATCAAACCAGGCCTGTTCATTCACAGGTTAATCAGTGCTAAGGCTGTGTTGGTTGGAGTAATTTTTACAATCTGGTTTTGGTCTTTTGTGTAGCATAGAGGGGGTCATATTTTCACATACGTCCTGCTGGGGACTATTTACGTAGTTACGTGCAATAGAGAAAAAATCAGTGTTGTCCCTGCTTCCAAACTAATGCAAATCCTGTGGGGTTTATTTTTCAGATTTCTTTTTCCCGAGGGTGAATCCATGGATGGTGGCGCTGAGTGTGATTCTCCTGGTTTTGTTTGTTTCCATTGGCCTCGCTGTTTATCTATTTAAAATAAAAGGTAAAGGTCACGGGAAAATTTCATGAAATTAACAAGAAATTTTCTTCTAATAAATGAAAAAAGGGAAGAATGAAATTTTACACTGGGCTAAGCAGGGGAAGCATGGATCTGCACTGTGCTCCCCTCAGCAGCACAGGGAAGGAAACATTACTAAGGTTCCCATTTGCTCCAGGAGGCAGTGATCTGCACCAGCCCTTTACAGGCACAGAATATTTCTCCCCCAGAACTGCCTCAGTTAAGCTGAATGGAGCATTTGGTGAAGGGGTGGAGGGAAGATTGATCCAAAACCTTCTCCACTCCTCACTCTTTTCTGCCCACTTCCCACCCAGCTGTGCAATTATTCCCTCCGCAGTCCCCATGGACTTTGTGAATTAGAAAATGTATTTTTCCCTCCTCTGATAAGTAAATATTTTGTACAGAGTTGGGTCTCCATAAAGATTGTGTGTGGTTTTATTTTGGGAGCAGTTGTCTGTGACCTCATTTACTGTTAAAAAGTAATTGGGATGAGACAGAGCCTGGCAAATTTCACCCCAATTGGCAATATAAAAACAATAGGGGTCTGAGTAGACATGAGCTCTGAGCCTGAAACTGAGTTCTGACAATGGTGAGAAACAATAAGTCAGAGATGGAGATGGGAAAACCTTTTTCTCCTGGTGCTGAGACCATGAAACCCATCAAAGGCTCACAAATTATATAATCAGTATGCAACTTTCACAAAATGCAGACAACTGTATTACCAAGGGAAAAATGCTCCTAATAATAATTTAAATTTATTGATGTTTATTTTTAATGGAACAGGATTAATTCTGTTAGAATTAATTAATTAATTAATTAATTAATAGAATTCTGTATGTGTCATGCTTTTTCCTCCAACAAGTAAAACTTTTGTACAACTTTGTCTCTTCATAAGGGTGTTTGTTTATTTTTGGGAGGAGTTTTATAGCTAGAAAAAAATGAAAGCCCTCATACTGCATCACTAATATCAGTTAGATCTTTGCCATTGACTTCAATGAGTGTAGGATTAAACACTGAATGCACAAGTCATATCGCTAAAAAAATAATGCTGATCATTTAAAGGCCAGAAATTCCAGTCTGCACCCACAGAACTCCCAGAAAAGCCAATGGGAATGTGAGAGATAATACAAGGAAGCAGGATTGGGCTCTAATGACTAGATTTTTTTAAGGTATATGTTCAGCTAACTCCCATTGAAATCAATGAGTGTTAGGCTCTTAAATGCCTTGAAAAAGCAGACCTTAATTCCATAAGGAATTTAAAATTCTCAGAATTGTAAATCATAGAATCATAGAATATCAGGGTTGGAAGGGACCTCAGGAGGTCATCTAGTCCAACCCCCTGCTCAAAGCAGGACCAATTGAAAATAGTCAGTTACCGTTGGACACAGCTCTAGTGTGGCCCATTGGTTAGTAAAACGTGAATGAAACGTTAATTATCTAGGTGCTAGGCATTCATATCATGAAAACACTTCTTTAAATCTCCATTAATTGATAATATTCTTAAATAACTTGTATTTACAACTGTTTGCTTTATTTCATTTCTTTAGGGAAACATCTTGGTGAAATCAGTAAGTTGAATTTTTTCTCCATATAGAACATTTTTCCATTAAGTTGTTTGCTGTTTTATTATTTATGATGATGATTATTAAAGAGAGATCAATTTGAAAATCACATGAAATATCCATGATAATGTATCAATGATTATTCAGTATGCGGGTAAGAGGAAATCATAAAGAAAATGTTATTTGAAAGGTATCTTCTCTGAGGGTGAAATTCATATAGTGCTGGAGGCACCATAAAGTGGGGAACTAGGAAGACTCTGTGCCCTTAAATGTCCTTTTGCCTCATCTGACAAGTAAATAGTTTGGTCCAACGTGGATCTTGTGTGTAATTATATTTGAGGAGGAGTTGTTCATCATTTCATTTAATGTTCAAAAGAAATTGGGATGAGATTAAGTCTGATTAATTTCATCCCAACAGGTAATATGAAAAGTTATACACAATGTTCAACTTTCACAAAACTCACTCATATATCCAAGAGAAAAACGCTCCTAATAATAATTTATATTTATTTCTGTGGTTTTTTGTTTTGTTTTTGTTTTTAGAGAAACGTGATACAGAAATCATTAAATGTTGTGTCCTTTTCTCCAACAAGGAAAACTTTGTACAAATTTGTCTCCTCGTTTTTTATTTTTTAAATGAGAAAAACATGAATACCCTGATGCTGCACCACTAACGTCAGTTAGAGCTGTGCCTTTGATTTCAACGAGTGTAGGATCCAACACTAAATGCACAAGTCACATCACTAAAAGAATAATGTTGATAATTTTAGGGCCCAATATTACATTCTGTGCACACCTAACGCTCCCAGCAAAGTGAATGGGAACATGTAATATGCAGGGAAGCGGGAATGGGGTCTAAGGGTAGCTTTTTAAAGGTATTTGGACACCTAATGCCAATTGAAATCAATAGGAGTTAGCAACCTAAATACCTTTAAAAATCTGGCCCTGATTCCCTGGGCAATTCAAAACTTTCAGAACTAAGTCCATGCAGATAATCAGTTATTTTTTGATACTTTACTCTAGTGTAGACACAAAATGAGCCCAAACGTCTACACCACAATTTTACAGGCCCCCAGCCTATTCCTTGTGAGCCTAGTTAGTTGACGTGGGTCAATTGGGGGTATTCAATTGCTGTGTAGCCGCACCCTATGGGACTTTGCAGGTGCTCCGTGCCCTGCCTGTGGATTGGAAAGAGACTCTTCTCCCCAGACCCCAGTAGTTTCCCTGCCCATAGCCTGGATCAATGGGTTTGTGAGGGACAGGCTGCATAATGGGAGGTTGATTCCATCCTAGAAGAGAAGCACTTAATTAATCTGTATTTGTTTCTGGTTCTGTGTTACCTAGATGATCTTCAGCGAGAACTTGGTAAGTGTTTCTGTTTCTCGAATGCAGCCTTTTCCTTGGTGTTGAAACTATCTCTGGATCTATCGATCTCTCACCCTTCTGCCAGGTGGAGTCGGCAGCAACACGGGCTGGGTTCAATGTCAAGGGTTCCTCTTAGCAATACAAACCAGAAAACACTTGAGACCCCACCCAATAATCTGGGAAAATGTAACTCCTGGGCCTTTTTAAGGCTATAGAGAGGCCCCTTTAAGGCTTATAGCGGCACAGCTGTACCACGGAAGCTGCCCTGCAATCGGGTCTCCCATGTAGCGGCTCTATGCCGACCTCCCACCAGCATAATTCAACCACCCCCGACGAGCGGCATTAGCTCTGTCCACACCGGTGCTTTTGTCGGTGAAACGTATGTCAGTCGGGGGGGGGGGGGGCTTTTTTCACACCCTGACTGACAAAAGTTTTACTGACAAATGCTGGTGTAGACACAAGATAAAAGAGAAAACGTCCAACTCACCCGCCCTGAGTCTGGGTGTAACAAAAGAGAACTTGTATTACAAGGCAAAGGGAACCCAGCATTGTTTTGGGAAAACACCACAGCCATGATTCGAAAGCATGTAACCCTAAGCAAAGCCCCACCCCACAGTACATTGGGCAATGTTGTTTGCCTCAGTTTCCCACCTTGCCGTGTGGAAATCCAATGAGCGAACGACCTGTAACACACCACTCCCCTCTCCCACCACTGCAGTCCACTCACAGTTGGTTGTTCTTAATCAGCCAAGACCCAGAGTTCAGAGCTGCCCTCACATGGCTTCACCTCCCACCCCTGAAAGGCTTGTGGGTGGGGGGGGG